TCTATCTATCTATCTATCTATCTATCTATCTATCTATCTATCTATCTTATACCTCCAGCTATCGGCAGCTATAAATAGCTATAGTCTATAGCGTCAGATCACATGTTCTCCAGGCGAATTCACATAAGGTGGCATTCAAGCCCAGCCAGGGGAGCCAAATGCAGATAAACACATAGTATTTTTGGGGACAGGCAGAACTTAATGACATCTACCTTGAGTTTATCTACATTTGTAAACACTCTGCTTCTGTCAAGCCCCCCCCCAACTTGACGGAAAGGTCAAGTAAGTCGGGCTCGGAATCAAACCTGGCTTTGTTCCTGCTTGTTGTTGTCCGATTCCACATGTGAAACCTCCAGTAGCCTGCCCGCATATGACTGTCTGCTCTGCACTTCACTCCTTTAGGGGTGGATATTTCTTTAAGAGTTGACGCAGAAATGCTTCACTTGAAGAGGCAGATCTTATGCTGTTGAGTTCAAAATTAGTGCTCATGTAATTATTTTTAGTTTACATATCCAATTTTTTTTCGTTCCAGGCATCGTATTTTTACATAACTTAATTATTAATAAGCTTGAGAGTTACCGAATCCAAGCTGGATCCTAGCAAACAGTTACCGGAAACACCCTGTCAATATAAGAGAGCACCCAGATTTTGTTCTGGCAGGATCCAGCTCAAATTAAGATGATGATTAAAGTGGGATTCTATGGAGCAGTAGTAAACAATTAATATGTTACCTGTTACTTTACCTCTTTGAGTGACCTCAGTTTGGAGAAATGGTGTAATTCTGACCAAACTGATGAGCTAAGTGATAGGCTGAACTAGTCAAGTTCAATCTGTGAAATTTTACAGTGGTTCATGTTGTCATTATTTTACAAACCTTTACATTGTAATCAATTTATCATTCCATGATTATTTACATAGAACGTTGTGGTTATCTGCAAATACAAATATCAGCAGCATTTATATTGAGGGCCAAGATGGTGTAGAGGCAGGGCAGCCGGCTTGGGACCCGAAAGTCCCAGGTTCAATCCCCAGTCACTGCACATCACGTGGCGTCTCTGGGCAGCACGCCTCATCCCCAAAATGCCCCCCGGGCGCCTTCAATAGCTGCCCACTGCACCACCTGGTGGTGGATGGGTTAAATGCAGAGACTAATTTCGCCATCGTATGGAAACATACAATGCTGACATTGTGATGGCATTATTATTATTATTATTATTATTATTTAGTTGTAACCCTTGCATTGCATCCCTGGGGAACTTCCAGTAGGAATAAAGTAATATTTTTGCTAGGGACCCAGTAAAATATGAAACAGACAATGATGTAAATGTCACAAATCAGCTGGGTCTGGTGAACCCAGTGGTGCAGACAAGCAGGCGAGGATTCAGAAATATGTTAAAATAAAGAATTTATTAACAGAACAAACGAGCTGACATGGCAGCAAAACAAAAACATAGAATGAACAGGGGGTACTCACAATACAGACAGGTCATCACCTGTGAACAGATAAACAATGCCAGGACAAGAACTAACACAGACACAGACTTTTATACAGGAAACACCAATTAGACCAAGTGATGACACCTGTGGGTAATCATAGATGCCAGAGAAGGAGAAATGATGCAAAACATGAACACGACACAAAATGGGGCTAGATACTAGTGAAACCCGAACCCTATAAAGACAAAAAGAGGATCAGGGGGAAACACAGGTAAAGGTTTATAAAATGACATTTGTGTAAACTGCATGAACATTTTTCAGGTTGGAGTTTTTTTTATGACAACAGTTCGGTTGTCTAGAGTTAGTTTGTCAAACCAATGAGGATGAAAGTTCTATCTAGAACAGGTAAAACACTATTTTTTTACAGACTAGATCTGACCTATCCCTTTTATTGAAGGCTTAACAGCGTGCTGTTTAGTGACAAACTTCAAAGTTTTTCATTTAAAAACCACAGAAGCACAAAATATCCCTTCTCCTTCTACCTCTCTAATCACTGATATTAAAGCTACATTTCTGCCCTTTTTCTTCCCTGCACAGGTGACTGATTTCACTCCTCCACAGTGTCAGCTGCTCAACATTCAATCCAACTGCACAGAAAACTGCAGTCTGTCGACATGGGAGATTTCCGTCAGGGTGACTGACGGAGATGCAGGGACTGGAGTCGACCGAGTCAGCCTCAGGCAAGGCAACAGGACCCTGAACACCAGCCTAGTAGCTGGCAACGAGAACAAAGTTCTGGTGTCATACGCTGTGTCCTGCTGTTTGCCTGATGTGGAGCTGCTGGTTGTGGATGGGGTTGGTAATGTAGGCTCGTGTATCTTCAACGCTCGAGACACTTTATCAGCTGCCGTCTCTGTGTCCACCAATCAGTACCTCTTCCTGTACCTGACTGTGCTGATATTAGGACTTATGCTGACAGAAGTTAGGACTGACTGACTCAGAGTAACGGACAGTTAAAGCTACATTTATTTTGTATAATTTTGAACATTTTGTGTTTGAACTTTACTAGTCTGAAACAATGTGTATTGTTTTTTATGTTTATCTGTTACTGGGAACCCAACTGGGAAAGGTTGTAAAAAAATGTAAAAAGTGAGATAGTTTGAAAAACAACAAAGTCCATGCTCAATAATCCAGGTATACAATTCAACATTTTTCAGTCAGGTCATCTGGACAGTTTCTTTTTTTTTGTGCTGAAACGTTTCGCCTTCCATCCGGAAGGCTTCATCAGTCAAGGAAACACACAACACAAAATTGATTCTTCCCCCAACAGCTTACTCCAAAGTGGAACAAACCAGTTCTGCTTGTAATAAGATGGTCTATTTGGTACGCCCCCTCCTCCATTGCCGGCCCTCTTCCTTGTTGACAGTCTTGCCAAACTGGTTGAAAACAACAAAGTCCATGCTCAATAATCCAGGTATACAATCCAACATTTTTCAGTCAGGTCATCTGGACAGTTTCTTTTTTTTTTTTTTTGTGCTGAAACGTTTTGCCTTCAGTCCGGAAGGCTTCATCAGTCAAGGAAACACACAACACAAAACTGATTCTTCCCCCAACAGCTTACTCCAAAGTGGAACAAACCAGTTCTGCTTGTGATAAGATGGTTTCTTTGGTACGCCCCCTCCTCCATTGCCGGCCCTCTTCCTTGTTGACAGTGGTCCATCTTATCACAAGCAGAACTGGTTTGTTCCACTTTGGAGTTAGCTGTTAGGGGAAGATTCGGTTTTGTTGTGTGTTTCCTTGACTGATGAAGCCTTCCGGACCGAAGGCGAAACGTTTCAGCACAAAAAAAAAGAAACTGTCCAGATGACCTGACTGAAAAATGTTGGGGAGTAATAAAATCCGTTTTCTTGGAATGATGTGTTTTATTTATATGTATGTCTTTAGTTTAAAAGTAAGGTTGCAAAGATGTTAATCGGTTCTACTCTGTCTTTAACGCGTTACAAAGTAACAAAGAAATAATACATAACATATATCAGTTATATTATACGCAGTAAATGTGGTTTTGTGCACTATCTGGTCTGTTTATACCTGTGCACAACTGCGTATTTACCAATTACTTAATTTTATGCATATTTAGACAAGTTCTGTAATTTTTTTTTTACAGCAACATCTGTAAAATTTCTCATATTATCATGTTCTGCTTACTGTGTGAACCCACGTGTAGGAAGTCAACGAAGACACCAAGTAAAATAACTAAGTTTATTATAAATAAACAAAACAAAATGCTGGTGGGGCAGCAAACATACTTTTTAAGGAGGGAACACGGAGGGAGACAGACGTTCTGAGAGCATAGTCCACAGACAGAGGAAGAACCTCAGAGACACTGAATGTACAGTGACACTAACGAGACAACAGATGAACACCTGGGGTGATTAGGATTACAGACAGGTGTGACGTGAGCTGAAACAACAAGAAGGGAAAAACACAAGGATGACAGGCCAAGAACTCAGAAACCCTCCATACACCTAAGGGATGGCACCTGACATCTCAAAGAAAAACACACACACACAACTTGGGTGGGAGGCGGGAGGATAAGCAGGATGGTGGGCACCAAAATAAAATAGAAGGACCAGAAAAGCAAAAAAATAAAAAATAAAAATTATTTTTTAAATGGCAGGTAGGAAAAGACCAAAATGGAACCAAACACTCCCAACCCCCAGAGTTAAGGTGGAGACTGTCCAGAGTGGGACAGGTGTTCAGGTGGACGGCCCAGAGTGGTACAGTCCATCTGGTGGATGGCCCAGAATGGGACAGTTGCTCAGATGGACGGCCCGGGAACCATCCCGAACAAGGCAAGAGTTCTGGCAGGCAGCCTGGAGACTGTCCATTCTTGGGCAAGAGTGGCGTCCATGTGGACCCGCTTCGATTCAGGCTGAAGAGAGGTGAAGATACCCCAGGGGAGGCCATGGTGGCAATCGGAGAGGCCATTGGAGAGGCCAAGACTGCAGGAGAACCAGTGATGAGAGCTGCAGCAGGCAAACGTTTTTGAACATCCAGGGGACGTGACTTAACTTTGTTAGATTTTTCAACCTGGATTATTGAGCATGCGTCAGGATAGCAGGCAAACCAGTGAAGAGAGTCACAGGCGATGGTGAGCTCGTCGAAGGAACTACAACTGTTGAGTCAGACAAAGGGACTTCAACTGGTGAGGAGACTGATGAGTCTTCAAGCGGCTTGGGGCCTACAGATGGCATGATGGTTCAGTGGTTAGCACTGTTGTCTCACAGCAAAAAGGTCCTGGGTTCAATCCCCAGTTGGACCATAGGTCTTTCTGTGTGGAGTTTGCATGTTCTTCTCGTGCTTGCGTGGATTTTCTCTGGGCACTCTAGTTTCCTCCCACAGACCAAAAACATGCATGTTAGGCTGCCTTCAGGCCCAGGCCTCCCTTGCAAAAGAGATCTGTGATCTCAGTGGGCTTTGCCTGGTTAAATTAAGGTTAATAAATAATAAATAAATAAATAAATAAATAAGACTTGGGGCCCACAGGAGATGATGGCAGGTCTGCTGCAGAGTATGAGCCCAGGAGAACTGTAGCGGGAGATGTAAAACAGTGTCCGTCATCCCAAACATCCACAGAGAGGCACTTGGGAAAAAGGTCGTCCTCTCCGATGTCCACAGAGACACAGGAGTGTGGGTCGTCATCCTGGGCTAATATTACGACTTGTACTGACAGAAGTTAGGACTGACTGACTCAGAGTGACAGACAATTTTGAGTTTGGACTTTATCACTCTGAAACACAGGATCAACATCTTTGTAAAATGATTTATTAGGCACATTAACCTCCTAAGACCTGAATATGTGGATGCCAGGTCCTAGGAGGTTAAACTTAAAACAATTAATTAGAGATTCAGAGTAGAATTGTTTCCATGTGTACATTTATTTGTATTGAGAACACAACTGGGAAAAGAATTAACAAGGAAAAAAAGTCAGACAGTTAAAAAAAACAATTTTATTGTCATAATGTGTCTAGCTTAATTCTTGTACAGGACACTAAATATCTTTCCCTTTTTGCCATAAGGTCAATATTTTTCACCAGCTTCTTCAACCACAATCCATATTTACATTTAAAAATGCTTTAATTATTACATAAATTTTCTGGTCGTCTAACACAAAAATCTGAGGCAGCAACATGTGTTCAAATGAGTGATTGAGATGTTTTGAGGCTTTGAAGACTTTTCTTTCGTCAAAGTCTACCTTCTTTGGCACATTAATTTAACGAAAATTCAAAATCGCCCATTACGTTCTACAGATCTTTTAATCAACTTGCATATATCCTTTAAACTTTCAGCCACAAATGCCACAGTTCTTGTTAAACTCCTTTCAAATATACATAAAGATGTGACTTTACTAAAATATATTGGTCTAACGGTACGTATTTTAAATCTGGTATCAAATGAATGTAGAATTGGCTGTAATTTGCAATTATTTGCATTTGTACTTCACAATAGTGCCACGGTTAGAGCATTTAAAAGGGTGTCTTTTTTTAATCAGTGCTGTAAAATTACTGTGATTCCAAAATAAAAACCAGTTCTTTTGACGATGTGTTCACTTGCGTATCAGGCAGTGCCGTTAGTGTATTGGGAAAGCTTATTCTCCAAGTCACAGATTCTCTTCTCCTGAGACAAAACTGTGGCCTTTAGATTCTGAAGCTCCTCCAGTAACCTCTCAAGTAGCTGAGGCTGCACAGGCAGGAAAGCAAAGACAAGAAAAATAAAAGGAGGGAAGGGAAAGTTCATAGTGACAGGAAGGAGGATGAGGAAAGAGCGAGGGGGAAAAAATGTCAAGGGGCAGTGAACAACTAGAGAAAATGAACCAAAACAAAGACGGGAGCTTTGGAGGGAAAAGATGTGCACAGGTACAATAAGAAAAGAAACAAACAGAAAAGTGTTAAATAGAAAGGCAGTAGTTATTAAAGGTAACAGTAAATACTCACTTTAAACATTGCATTCATATTTAAACTAACCTTAACAATATAAATTCAATTTGAGACAGACGAGTCACTCTGAATAGATAACATGTAGCGTGTGCATGAGAGGATGTAAAACTTACCGGCAAGCTGTTGGTGTCAAGAGCGGACATGCTGCGTCGGGTGGTGGGTCTGGAGTCCAGCATGTTCTTCTTCACCACTTTGAGCTCTCGGCTCTTAGGCGGCACGTAGCCGTCCTTCATCGACATCAAGATGGGATCTTCATCGCGGCCATCCAACCACTCGTCAGGCTCCATGGCGGGCTCAGGTCCTGCTGTGTCTGGGTACAAATCGTCCTGGAAGAGGTCCGACTGCACAAGGGAGGGGGAAAAAATACAAACTTTTTTGGGGGGTGTTCTGGTTTTACAGTTCCCAAAAGTGTATGTGTTTTTGCTTTCTTTCTTCTAAGATGGACAGAAGAGAAGGCAACATAGGCAGTGAGCAAACCACAAAAACCTCAACCAAGTCAGGATTACTGAGGATTTATGAAGCACTTTGTAGGTTTGGTCAAGTTGTGGAACACATTCGTGACGTCTTACTTTAATAAGCACATCCAAACAAGATTAAAAGCAAAAGCAGCTGGACTTTATTTGTAATTAAAGACGTTTCGCTTCTCATCCGAGGAGCCAATTCAAAGAACAGAGTGGGGAGTTCGAGCTATAAAGCTGCGATGAACTAGATACATATGCAGATGACCCTATCAATCCTCACAATAGGGGTTCGTTATGATTGACAGTGGAGCAGAGCATAATTATGTAGTGAGTCACGTGAGGTACGTGTCACTTGTTGTATGACAAATATATGGATATATATTTATGCATACTTTTCACGAGTTCTTCATTTTTCTGACTGTAAATGTCGTGCATTGAATTTAACAGAAATGTAAACAAGAGACGTTATTTATCTTTGACCCATCAAATGAATGGAATCATTTATTTTCAGAATCAAAGTTTAACATCAAACATTTACATTAATTTGGCAAAATATGAAAATAATAACAGACAGTTTCACAGAAAATGAACTTCAAATCACTCGGCGGTGATTTGAGGACTTTGCTTAAGATATTTCTAAAATATCTGTACTGATTTATGAGAGAGAGGTGGGTTTTAGAGTGAAAGGAGATTATCTTACAGAGAACTGTGTGAGGGAAGTTTAATCTGTTTAACCAGAAATTGCACGCTTCGTCAGATCCTCAGCTTCTCACGGTACACTTGGTCAAAATAGAACCATCTACCTGTTGACGATGAATCAGCGCTGGATGTAGTTCCTTTCTGACTCGTTTCAGCGTCTCCGTCGAGAGCTACCAAACCTTCAGAAAGTCGTGCGTTGATTAGCTCAAAACAGAATTATAATCCCAAACGTTCCTGGTTCTTCATAACTCCAAACTCTTCATAACCGGCTGCACTCTCAATCTGCTCATTCTGTTGGACTATCGGACCTGTTGTCAGCTCTCATTCCAACATCTCTCAGAACTCTCATTCTCTTGGAATTCTGGAATCCATAATTCTCTATTCCTTCTCCTCTCTATTGGAATCTATGAACTGAGAAGTTGCCACATTTTATTTGGGTCGACTTCCTGTTCAATTTAGAGCTTTCTGATTCGTGGAAGGACCAGAAAGAGGAGTGGATTTGTGACGTAAGATGTTATCATAAGTCAAGGATTGTTTACAACATACAGAAAAGATTATTGCAGCAACAGCAGACTTCGTGGAGTCTCACACTTTGTAATCTTTTCAAATAGTAAAACATGACATTTTTCTCGGTAAACATTTTAGTTGACCGAAAACCAACCTTTAACATACTTACGACAGCTTGCTCATTTCAGACAGAAAATCAAGAAAGGCATATTCAGGTGATTTCTTCTCTGAATGAGGAACAAAAATCATTACTTACTGTTTATGTAAAAATAAAAATTAGTAGTTCTTTTCAACCTGTAAAGCATTGAGTGAACTAACACAATCTGATTATCAAAACATTTGTAAGACAGTAATGATTATAAAGAATTGTCTTTTCTGCTTGATTAATTCAAGAAAGAAAGTTCATCAGATGGTTCAGACTTATTCAGATCAATGAAAATAACAGTCTCTGTCCATCTGGTAGATTTGAGGTTATCTGGTTCACTACAATTATCAGCTGTTCTTACTTTTCTCGGCACTGTCATCGTGATGGGCTCACACTTCTTATCATGCAGCTTGAATAACCTGAAAAACAGCAAAGTCGGCAGATAATCAGCACAGCAGCGTTTGTTGAGCATCCTTTTATGCTGTAAGGATGCCTCATGTAGAAAGATTTCCTGTTAGCATAAATTTATGGTGTGGTTACAGTACTGAAGATCAGAAGAAGTAATAAACTAACAGCTTAGAGATGCACACTGTAAAATTTAGTTTTAGATAGTAGAACTTGTTTTAAAATTAAAAAGTGCTTTCAAAATAATTTTAGCTTTATTTCTAACTGAAGGATATGCCATTAAAATGTGATTTTATATATAAAACCCTGTGCTAAATAGCCAGTCACACACATGCAACATGCTTTTGTTCACCCTTTACTAGTTTACATTAAAAAAAAAAAAGTTTGGTGGAAAAACAATGCAATAAAGCTGCCAATTTGTTTAATTTGGCGCATCTTACCGAGCGATCTCACATTTGGTGACGTCCACGCCTCTCTTGGGCATAAAGCCCATTCCTCTCTGAGGCTCCTTACTGCTGAAGGTGCTGAGGTAGTGAACGTACGGCGGCTCCTCCGTGATCTCAAAGTAACGAATACTGCTGTCCCCCTAAAAAAGCAATGCAAACATAAAAAGCATATAAGAAATGTAACTCTCATATAAAACATCCTTAAGTTTAAAGCATGATTAGACTAGTGTCGCTGTACTTTTCCACACAAGTAGACCATATTTGCATCTGCATCATAATACGGTAACAACACTCCGTTACTTGTGTCCAACTCCAAAAGTGCTATGGGATCCTCAAAGTTTGTCTGCAGACAAGAAAAGCAACGAATGAATGTGCATCCACATCGATACATAAATGGTTCTGTTTATTTAGTTATTCATGAACATCGCTTGAAGTTTGCTTGTTACCGGGTCCCAGAGGCCAAGCTCTCTCTGGCTCATCCTGGTGAATCCCGTGGTGAAGATGTTTCCGTCTCTGGTGAACATGGCTCTCATTGGCCGGATGCCCTCATGTGGAGCCATACGTTCCTGTTGGCAGACAGAGGGAACTACTTTGAAGGACAGAAGGTTTGTTGCGCTTTGATTATTCTTCAGTTTTGATCACTTTTCAACGTTTTGATTTAAATTTAGAGCCATGATTCACCAGTTCACCGAGTCTAACGTTCTGCAAGATTTATGAGCAGTTCCTACTCACTCACCGCCACCACTTCCCTCTTGCGGGGATCGCAGACTCGCAGACGTCGATCCTTACAGGTGGTGCAAAACAAGCTGCCGTTGCGGTTCCAGCTGATGCTGTAGATGAGGTCTGGGTGGTCGTCCATTGATATGAGAGGTTCTCCTGTTCCCACGTTCCAGATGATGATCAGGTTATCGCTGCCTGGAGTGTGGCAGGGTCAGACAAAAAAAATATAAATATTCCTTGTCATCCTGATTATGAATTATTTGTTTTTACTTAAATTAAATCCAAAACAGAAGTAATGAATTTTATTTAGGTGTATGTGTTTATGAACTGTACCAGCTGTGAGGAGGATGTTGCGTGTGGTGGGATGCCAGCTGACGATGCCGACTCGTTTGGAGTGTCCCTCCAGAACAACGATGGGATCAGACAGGGGACGGGTCAGTGTATGGTCTGGGATCTGCCACACCTGCAGAGGACACACAAACACAGTGTTACTGATCTTATCATTGTATTCCAGATGGGTTTTTTTTCTTCCTAGGACTAAACATCTGGGACTGGAGAGATAAAAATGCATTCTTTAAGTCAAAGCAGCAAAATCACAAAAGTGTATGTAATTTTACCAACACGTCCTGCTCGAGTCTTTTTTGTGAGGATTGTGTTGCTTTGTGTGTCTCCCTCTTGAGGTCTGGTCCTGCTCTCCTGTATTTTATAGAAGCCTGCGTCTCTGTGTTCTCCTTTGTCTGGGCATTGTATCCTGTATGCGTTCTGTTTCTGCCTTCCTCCACATCTCCCCTGAAGTTCATGTAAGTTTGCTGCACGTCAGCTTTTGCTTTCCTCTATATTAAATATATATTCCACTCTAAGTCCCGTGTTCTCCGAGTCCTGCCTGCAAATGAGTTCTAATCACAGGAAATGTAACAGTTTTATAAAACTCCGCCACACTGCCACACTTTAATAATGTTGCTAATCAGCAGTCAGGCAGTGGTGATGGTTATTTGTGCAGATATTTATGTGTCAACTTATATAATCAACGCAGCACCTTAGCAGCTTTTGGGCCACAAAAATTACAACTTTTAAATAATTTGTCCGTCAGTTTGAACCTAAACTCATTAGAAAGGTTTTACTCTAGTTTTATCACTTTAATATTGTCTAACCAGATTTTTAGTAAAGAGGAGCACATCAACAATACTTAGGGCCAGGGGCGCAACTACATATTTTTGAGGTGGATGCGAACACATCATCGGCGCCCCCCCCCACCCGCTCCTTTTTACTTGCCGCCTCATACAGCTTAGTCATGCACTTAGAAAATACAGTAGTAATATTACAGATTTTTTTAATGTTACATATTATATCAGGTGATCATTTCAATCATAAACAAATAAGAAGTTTTATAAAGTACAAATATATAACAGTAGTGGTACTCAGTCAGTGCTCAACATTTTATGTAGCGGAAATATGACATCTTAACAGCCTGGAGTCCATGTCAGAGTTTTAACATTTATGACATTTAAACTGTTACATTCCGTGACTTTGCATTTGCCCATTTGTCAAGTATAACATCAAATGAAATAGACCGTGCCACACTGTTTTCAATAGAGATCACTGCTAACTGGGACAAGCGATCATTGCTCATATTTGAACGAAGGTACGTTTTGATGAGCTTCAGCTTGCTAAATGATCTCTCTGCAGATGCAACTGTCAGAGGCATGGTTAAAAATACTCTAAGGGCTACTGTCAAATTTGGAAATACCAAATCAAGGTCCTCTTGAATTAGGAAATTTAACTTTTCTAGAGCCTTGTAACCCTTCAGTAGACGGCTTGCTGGGTATATTTCTTGAATGATATCTCTTGAAACATCACAAGTGGTCAGGGCATATGTGGTCACTGATTCCTCCAGCTCAGCTTTTGTCATGTGCACAACGAGCGGTAGTTCAAGATTAAAAAAAAACAAAAAACGCGCCGAGTGCGTTCTCTTAGGGGCGTGTTCACAGCCACCTGTGTGGGAAGGGAGAGCGATAGGAGGGGAGGTGAAGGAGCAGAGGGGAGGTGAAGGAGCAGAGGGGAGGTGAAGGAGCAGAGGGGCGCCTAATCAGTGCTGTTCCCCTGTTATTGATCATTTAGAAAATGCCTACTAGAAAAACATTTTTTCTACAGAGGGTTTTGACGCCCCCTGCAGTGCAGCGCCCCTATGCGTTGCATACGCTGCATACCCGCTTTTTGCGCCACTGCTTAGGGCATCAAGGTTTTAATGGTTTCATAGTTTTAACACTTTTTATAATCAATCTTTTTTTGTTTGGTTTATATATGTAACATTTAAGAAAGGTGTGTTTAAATCTTGTGAGCTATCCAAGTGTTTGTTCTTGAATAATAGAGACAACATTACTTGTGAATAATTAAGTTACAGTTCAAATGAATTTGAAGTTTTGAAAAACGTGTTTTTAAAAAGACACCATCAATTATATTTTATATACTTCTGAGTGTAAACCTTCCTCTGGGAGAATAAACCACCACATATTTTGAAACTTTTTTTTTCCCCAAGTGTTGCATTTTTTAATACGAATTAAATTATTTGTTTATACGACTTAAAATAAAATGGAATCAGCAAAACAAAAACTACTTTACTTAGCTCAAGAAGAATAAAAGTCAGCAACAACAAAATAAAAACAAAACTGAACTGGAATGATATTTTAGTGACACCCCTCCCCCCAATTTTTTTTAAAAAAAGCCATCGATGACGGATCTGTGTACTACAGGCTAAAAAACACGGTCACACAATAGTTTCTACACAATGATCACTCGGAGGTAAAGCTTTTCTCATGACACAATGATGAGATTCTGTCAAATGAGGAGTGTGACATCACACTTTTGGCCTTTCTGCAAATCCACCAAGACAGCTGGAACTGTCTGTCTGTGTGCTGCTTGATATAAACAAACTCTCTCTCATACACATGCACACACACACATGCACAGCAAGCGAGGGAGAGAAGCACAGCCCTTGTGCAGCGTTCGATCGTTAGATCACATAAATTCTTGTGACGTTGATGAACAACTGGACAGATCCGTCGTCAGTGACAGCTGTGCTGGTGCACACATGTGCTATCATTAAATGACAAAAAACATGTGACAAGTGACACATGCTGTAGATATTGTAGGCACACACACACACACATAAGTTTGCACATCTATTGTATTCATTTAATTTCTTTAGCTTAACCCAGACCCTTAAACTGTTACTGTTTTTCTTTTGCCTGTTCTATTCTGACTGGGTCGCCACAGTGACGGACCTCACAGGAAAAAAATGGCAATTGTTTTACGCCCGATGCCCTTCCAGATGCAACCTGGGATCAGATTTAAAAGACCACTGCACTGACCACCGAGCCCCCTGCAACCCAGACCCTTACCCTAAACCGAACTATTACCAGTACTGGCCTAATCTTAATCTAAGCCTAAAGTTAATTCTCACCATAGCTCTTAACCCTTAACCCAAAAATGATTTTGCACCGTATTAGGACCTGGCTTTAATTTAATATAGAGACTGACAGTTTGGACAAAGTTGCTCATTATACATATAAGGGCCTGTAGTGGTAAGAAAAAAAACAAGTGTACACACACACACATAGTGAGAGAAACCACCGCCTTAATATATACATAATCTTTTAGATTAGTAAAATATCATGACAATAAAAGAAAATTTTGAACAAATTTCCCATAGCTTTGTCCTCTAGTTACTTTACCGTTACAGATGGCCGTAAAAATAATATAATTGTTAAAACATCTGACTGAATATCAATTCTGCACAATAAAAAAATTAATTAATTAATTAATTCAATTTACAGACTGTGGTTTATGCCTTTCATTAATTTGTGGTAATCAACTTAAACATGACTGCAGTTATGCTGACAACAAACTGCATCTAAAAACTCTAAATGTTTAGTTAATCAAGATGCATTATTAGTGTTTAGCATATATTTTAGATTCTTATTTACTGTTTCTTTATAGACTTTACTTTTTGCTATTTTTGGGTGTAACTGAGACCCTGTGTACATAATTTTGTTCCACCTCATGTACCACATGTGATGAAATGACAATAAACCTACTTGAACTGTGACACCAGATTACCTGTAGGCAAATGCGCATCTTGTTAGTCATAAAATAATATGCAACACTATTTAAAATTGCTTGGGCCATACTATATATAGAGTCCATAGTTTGGATATTGCTAATAGTTTTTTTAGTGTGATTCCAATAGTGCCAATAATTGACTTTAACACACTGATTTATAAACAATCAATGATTTTTTTTTTCTTTCAGGTCTCCAATATCTGCAAATTCATTAACTCTTCATACCAAGCAACCAATTGATAATCATAAGGAGAAAAAAACAAAACATTATTTATTATATGTCCTAACCAAATCACAAAAAGGATGAAAACATCCATCCATCCATCCATTTTCTTTACCCGTTTATTCCATTTTGGGTCACGGGGGTCGCTGGTGCCCATGTCCAGCAATCACTGTGCGAGGGGCGGGGTACACCCTGGACGGGTCGCAAGTCCATCACAGGGACACATAGAGACAAACGAGACAAACAACCATTCACTCTCTCACTCACACCTAGGGACAATTTAGAGTTACCAATCAGCCTAACATGCATGTTTTTTGGTCTGTGGGAGGAAACCGGAGTACCCGGAGAAAACCCACGCATGCACAGAGAGAACATGCAAACTCCACCCAGAAAGGCCCCTGGACCGGGGTTTGAACCAAGGACCTGCTCGCTGAGAGGCAGCAGCTCTACCAGTTGCGCCACCGTGCTGCAGGATGAAAACATTGAGTTTTTATTACTATTTTAATGTGCTGTAAATTGTGCCTCAGATGATCACACAATCCTTCTGAGCTGGTCTTTAGTCCAGCATTAGTCCAGCATTGGATGCATTAGCATCCAACATTAGTCTGTTTTTTTTTGTTTGTTTGTTTTTTTAACTGAGAACCTAACATATTAGTAAAGTATTAATAAAAAAAAAATTTCAAATGTTGTCTTAAAACCGATACATATACTTTTCACCATAAGCATTAATGAAACAAGACTTTTCTACAACATTATTGTAAATGAAACTGTAACTTTGTAAAATATCAACAAGATTTGTCCTATTCTGTCCACGATATATTGAAAACACAGCAGTTTGTTTCTTTCACAGACACTTAAAATCTTTAAAAAATTACACAAATAAAAGATGCTCAGTGGTTTTTGATAGCATTTAAATTTAGTATGTTTTCACCACTCTGCTTTGTTGTACAGATTTATTCATCAGATTGTGAATAAAGTTGTTGTTGTTTTGCAATCAAAGCCACACGGGGACCTCTGCTGGCCGCACACACAGAAAACACAAACATCTGCTCAACAAGAAGACAAATCTTTATGTTTAAACAAACATTAGAGTCTGTTCTGTTAAAAAAGTTATTCTTCTTTAGTCAGATCTGATTCATTTAATCATCACTGTTGTAGGGGAACACCACCTCAGAAAAGTTCACCTCATCTCAACCAAACACCATTCATGTGTTTTTGTGTTTGAAACTGTTTAAAGTAAGATGCATCTATTCCCTTGGGGAATAAAAGACTTTGTTTTACAAATATTCAACTCAGTTCACAAACTTCTTAGTTGACACTAATGTGAATGTATTAAAAAAAAAAAAACTGTCACTGTGTTAACTTCACTGCCAATATGAACTCATTTCCCATGAAACGGACAGATCGTTTTAATGAGAGCTTGTGGTCCAACTGACCTCGAAGCTTAGGAACGTCCGAACTCGCTACTTTGGTATCTTCCTTTATCAAAAAGGAATATTACTCCCAGAATCGTTCCCATGAAGATAACACATTTTAAAGAACCCTTTGTTAATGACATTTTCTTTTCAGGAGATGAACAGCGACACCTTTTGATGAACATTGATTCTGTTTTATTTCATACCTGAACGTTTATCCATGAAAATGTGTGTTTTAAGTAATCTCTTTTTAAGAATATATTTGGTCTTATTGTCTCTTTTGAAAGAGTAACTTTTAAAGGCAGACAGAGAAAATGGACTTTAGATTTTATAAAACATGACAAAGAGTTAGGACCATCCCTCTTCCAAGAGGTGGACCTTCACCTCTGAAACACACAGACAGTTAAGTTTCACTTCTGGCTTCTTCTTCTACTACACATCTACTTCTACATCATCTTTCACTACACACTTCTGGAGCTCGGAACTGGGAGAGAAAAACCCAGTTTCTGCATGGAAGAGACACATCCTTTCTGCACAGAGACGGAACAAAAGATACAGAAGAAACCTTGCAGAACCAGAAGTAGAACCTGGCATTAACCTGAGATTTGTTACCAGAACCATCACACCGCAGAGGAGTGGAAAATCCCAGCTGACTCCCATATGGACCCTCGTCCCTCTAAGATGACAGGTGAACTATGAGGAAAAATCAGCCTCTCAGTCACCAGAACATCTGGACTGGTACCATTTTTAAGCAGCTGTTGGACCATTTCTGACCATCTCATTCTGGTAGGACAAGAGACTTTTAATGTCTTTCTGGTGATCATACATCACAATAATCTTATCAGACAAACTACAGTTCACTTTAGACACAATTTTAACTACTTCACAAACAGAACCAGTCCAAAATCTGCCTTTTTAAGTTTCACCTATTTGAATAATCAATTAGACCTTTGATACAAAGCTATTTGTTATTCATTTGATTGTTATGCATAATTTTTATCACATATATCACAGATTATTATTTTTATAATAAAATACATAAAATCAACTGAATTTGTGATTATTTTGGCATATCTGTGTGTATTAACTGACTTGATGCCCTTTAAACACGAGAAAGAACTCATGTTTCAGTTTACATTAATTTGGGGTTAGAGACTGTTTTTCCTCTAAAAGAGAGGTGGTGCCCATACACAACGAGGTTATTTGCATAATAAATGCATATCTTATGAGCTTAACTCAGAACTGATAATTTACATTATATATCCAGACCTATATCCCTCTACACTGTCCAGATATTTAACATATTTAACATAGTTTAGTGTATTTCTTAGTTCATGCCTTAGATCTTACTACTGGTTTTCTTCACAATTTATACTTTTGTTGGATGCAACTGGGACACTGTGTACACAATTTCATTCCACCACATGTATCACATGTGATGTGCATGACAATAAAGAAACTTTGACCTTAAAATTGAAGTCTCCCACATCCTGCAGACAGATTTGTGGACGTAATCCTCACATCTGGGGTTTGTAGTCCACTTCATGCACAGTTAATGCAAACACAGTGAGGCATCGATGAAAAAATAAATGTGATTTTTGGTACATGCTAAACTGCCTAAATGAAACATCCTGAATGACGTGCATTCCTCCTATATTCTCTTTTTATTTTATTTCATGGTTATTAGCGCAATTTTGTCTGTAATGCTACAGGAAGAAGAAAAGAGAGAAGCAGCAAGAGCACTAAAGATTCTGATAAAATATGATGAAGCAGCTTCAAATGTTTTACTAACTAGGGCTTTAACATACTATTCGAGTAATATACACATCGATTCCTAGGACATCTATCGAGTTTTTTAATTTCACGTCGAGTATCCGCGGTGACGTCATTACGCCGCCGTTACGTCATTGCGTCACGTGTCACATGATCTGCACCGGGCGTGGGTTACAAAATGGATTTCTTCAAGCAGACAAATGGAGCGGAGCAGGCCCAGTCTTGACAAACAGGTAGACATAAATCAATAGTATGGAAATATTTCACTAAAGATGAATCTTCCGTTTCATTCATCATAAGGAAACAGAAAATGAATCAACTTCCTGACTGTTTGGAGCTTGTTGAGAACCGGTGTTACACCATATTCTGTGACCACTGTATATTGTGACCGTAGGAGGCGGTGTTGCATGCACTGTTGCAGGTCACAGAATATGGTGTAACACCGGGTCCAATGACCGAATCAGAACCAGCTTCCTCTGACCTTGTTTCACAAACAAAAAGCAAAAAATATTTATCTCTAAACCTATAAAAAAAAAAACTATAAACATATTAATCTCTATAACTAAACTTAATGCGCACCACAGCTGGCAGTGGTGCGGGGTGGGCGTCTGCTCCACTGTTTTTAGTTTAGTTTTTGACGTGCCACATGTTTCTTTCAATTTTGCAGCTTAATAATTATAACTAATAGTTTAGTTTTTCCTGTGACTTATTTGCAGTATAATAAATGGTAGGAGCATAATATATGCTCACCGTGTTTTGTTGGTCTTTTTTATGTAAATAATGACCTTTTTGCGGTTTTATTTATTTATTTTTGTATCTTTAGATCCTATGATGTCATCAAGTACTCGAGTTCTACTCGAGTTTCATTATCTTAATGTCGAGTTTAAAATTATGTAGTCGTTCAACCCCTATTACTAACATACCATGACTGCCAAGCTCAACTTCTACCACCATGATCTGAGTCAACGCACTGCTCCATGTGTGTTTCAGCTTATTTTGGAAGACAAAACTGTTACCATTGCAGTGCAGTCTTCTGAACAGCTGGCCAGGATGTTGTCGTCATGAGGGCACCAGTCGATGTCAAGAACTGGTCCTGAGTGGCCAATAACCAGTGGGTAGTTCTTATCCACACGACCTGTCTGTAACACAGAAACAGACGTAGACCTGACAAATGTTCATCATTGTTATACCATAAACAATAAAAAGCTCTATGTCTGTAATTCTGATTCTGTTTAACCCGAAAATGGATTTAGATGGACACAGTCAAGGTGTGAATAAAGAAAAAGATATGTCCAGATTATAAAAAAAACTCTTCTATAACCAGGTTTATAATTGTTGTTCTGTATTTCTGCCAGGTGGACACCACATCCCCTGGAAAACTGTTGCAGGACAAATAATAAAGGTATTATCAAAAATATCTTCTATTGCACTGGAACAAGAGAATAATGCAGAGGAAAATATAAAAAAATTGAGAAAATGTGAAATGTTTTCATACATACATTAAAAATATAAAAACAATAACATGCTATGTAAAAAATAGCACCTGCAATCAGATGAAAGTGAAAAGTGCCTTAGTTTTTCATGTTGTGGAATTTATGCAGTGAGTATGAAAAATAAGAACAAAGTTTTGCTTGAGGACTTGAAAAGTTTTTTTTTTTTTTCAAAGAATGGATATTGCAACAAAAAAAAAAGGAGAAAATATTTAAAATGTTTGAATGGTGGATACAGAACATCAATGGTTTTTTTTCTGTTTCTGGTGAAACGGTGTCAGCTTCATCTGGGGCGGCTGTGGCTGAGTGGTTAGAGCATTTGTCCTCCAGTGGGAGAGTTGGGGGTTCGATTCCACCAGCAGTCACATGCTGAAGTGTCCCTGGGCAAGACACTGAACCCCTCATTGCCTCTGATGTGTGTCCCATCGGTGTATGAATGTGATAAAGCACTGATTGATCTTTGTATAGCTGTAGTAGAGAGCTGTATGAACGGGTAAATGAGGGAACAGATTGTAGTGTAAACCACTTTTAGTATCTTGATAAGGTAGAAAGGTGCTAAATAAGTACAGACCATTTACCATTTCATCTATCTGTTTCTATCTAAAAAGAAAAAGAAAAACTATCCCAGAAGACCCTGCTGCTGAGAAAAAAATGTCAAAAAGATTTTAATTTACCAAAACTTGTAATTTAGCCAAAATGCTTTTGGAAAATTGTCCAGATGAGATTAAAATAGACATTTTTGGTTAAATGTATCATTTAATTATTTGCATATAATGAAAATACAATAAACATCAAGACTCAGCACAGTTCATGGGAAAAGCTCTTTGAACAGATGAAACCATTACTGAGCTGAATTATAATTAGGAAAGACAGGTGTTGAAGGAAAAAGGGAGAGGTCTTTAAGAAAAGCATGTGACTTATCAAACAAGGTGGTGGCAGTGTGATGGTATGGATTGTAGTCAGGAGTCACAAGTGTTCAAAATGATTTCTGAATAGAAGAAGAAGCAAAACAAAATGTGGAGCTTTAAGAACACAAACAGTTGGGAAATGTCCCCAAACTTCCTGATGCAGCGATTAAGAACCTTCAAAGAAACAAGTTATTCATAGATGGATGAGACAGTCCCTTCAGCTGCAGCCCAGCCGAGCACGTATAACACGATAATATGAAGAGCAACAAAAACAGCCAGACTTCCTGGGGAATGTCAACATTTCACAAAAAATATATATTTTATATCTGTGAAATGGAGGAACTTCTCCAACAACATCTGTAAGTCCAAAATAACATTTTATATTTAGGTATACGTGTCTTAAAAACAAATACTTGCTGAAGTATTTTAAATCTACTGTTGGGTTATACTGATGAAGATGATAAAACTTGTCTATGTGTCCAAATATACACGGATCTGACAACATATAATCATTATTCCTGACAAATTTCCATAAGACAGTTTATAATAAATTGAACTGTGCTGAAGATAGTTGACATTAAACACAGTAACAAAACTTAAAAGTGATAGCTCAGATCTTTTGAAGTGGGGTTATTTGGAAAGGTTGTGAACAATTAAATTATCCTGATGCATGTTCAATAATCCAGGTAGATAAATCTAAAAAGGAACCGAGGATTACATCAGACTGAAGAAGTACTTTGGATAAAAGACGAAACGTTTCAACAAGAAGAATCTGTCCAGAGGACCTGACTTAACCTTGTTAGAACAATTAGTTATATATATTAAAAGCACCAAAATGCCTTTTAAGTTGTCAAAAATGAAACTTGGAGTCAGACCTAACAAAAATGCTGCAAGTCGTTGTTTGTACGTCTTAATATGTGAATTTGGGTATCAGTTTTAGAGACATCACACCCTCCACAGAGGCACACACACATACTGAGCGAGGCGTATTTATAGTTCCAGTGACAAGCCGTTGAAAGGGGAGTTTTTCTTGATGCCTGTTGGGGAGTCAGAGGGGGGAGAGAGGACACACACTGCCCTGCTATGTATAAATAGCACGTTCGTTCACCATTACGTCTCAATGTCTTTAAAGACTAGTCATTACTTTACATCTTTTAACACATTTTACACGAGTTGACAAAGTTTTTGTGGGACCCCCCCCCCCCCCCCCACACACACACACACACCTACTTGCGCACACACACACTTTCCCCAAAAGATGACAAAACAAGTTAATTCATTCATATGTCCATTATGACAGTTTTAGTCATCATGAAGGCAAAAATAATAATAACAAAAACATGTGATAAACAATATTAGATATGAATATTTATTAGGAAAAACTTGAAGACGTATTTCATATCGCAGCCCTCGTAAAACTGAGCTGTGTTTGGCAGAGGTTGTTCACAGCCCGACTCAAATGAGACCGGCTGTGTGGAGGCATTTCACAGGGAGGGTCAGCTGAATTTCTGTAAATCTGTTTAAAGACAGCAGTGACAATGCTCACTTTGTGCAATAAAAGAGGAAAGTTAGGACAGCTGGCAGTAAAGCCTTCGGCTACAAGGATATAGCCACAATTTTTTTCTTTCGGCTGCTCCCTTCTCCAGAGGTCGCCACAGCGAACTAACTCGTGAAGACTTGTCAATTGTTTTTACATCAGATGTCCTTCCTGATGCAACCATAGACCACTGAGCTACCACAGCCCTCTGTGTGGAGCAGAGAGCTGCTATCCAGGGCGCTCAAGGGAGCAGATGGTGGGGGTTAAAAGCCTTGCTCAAAGGCCCAGAATGGGGCAAATGAGAGTGGAGGCAGGTGTGGGTGCTTCACCTTTCACACCCATATTTTGATGTTGTCGGTCGAGGGAGTCGCACTGGCTGATCACAGGCTCACCTTCTCTAACCTCTGCGTCACCACCCCTGCACAAGGATATAGCCACTATAAATCAACTAATTCCCCGTTATCTTGTTTCTCTTATTTTTTTCTAGATCCTTCAGGTTATGTCTTGTTTTCTGCTCTGCCACTTCCATAGTCCTTATTTGATGATCATCCCACCTGGGCTGCATCTGTAATTATCCATCAGTGCAGACATCTGTACACCATGGTTTTGAATTTTCATTCAAGCTTTATTTCTACAGGTTGTTCTCATTGATTACAATAGAAACCTGAATTTAACAAAGAATGATGACAAAACAGTAGACAATCATAAAAGAAAACATAAATTGAAAAAAATAAATGGAAGAAAATGATATTAAAACACTAAACAAAAACAGCTATGGTGCATTATAAAGTGAATCCTTATGTGTTGCAATTTTCTACCCAATTAAACATCTGGATTAGTTTTTATCATTTTTTTGTGTGCATTGTTTCTGTTTAATCTGCACTTTTTATGTTTTAATGATGTTCTGGTTCATCCTGCTGCTTGTACTCCTGCATTTGTGTCCACTTCATCAACGCTTCATCACCATTTCTCAAAACAAACAGCCGTTACTTTGTCACTTTTATTGTCAGGCATGAACTGCCTTTTTGCAGAACCCAGGCTTGATCTGTAATTACTTTATGCACTTTGGGGTAAAAACAGTTTATAAAGAAAACATTCTGTGAAATAGTAAAAACTGCGTGAATAGTTTAAAAAATGTATTAAAAAAAATACTTCTATTTATTCCACAACCAAAAAAATCAAAGCTTGCAAAATAAATGTTATGTGGCTGGCCGTCTTAATGGATGCTAAGATTGTACAAACCCGATTCCAAAAAAGTTGGGACACTAAACAAATTGTGAATAAAAACTGAATGCAATGATGTGGAGGTGCCAACATCTAATATTTTATTCAGAATAGAACACAAATCACAGATCAAAAGTTTAAACTGAGAGAATGTATCATTTTAAGGGAAAAATCTGTTGTTTCCAAATTTCATGGCATCAACAAATCCCCCCAAAATTGGGACAAGTCCATTTTTACCACTGTGTGGCATCCCCCCTTCTTCTTACAACACCAACAGACGTCTGGGGACAGAGGAGACCAGTTTCTCAAGTTTAGAAATAGGAATGCTCTCCCAGTCATGTCTAATACAGGCCTCTAACTGTTCAATCGTTTTGGGCCTTCTTTGTTGCACCTTCCTCTTTATGATGCGCCAAATGTTCTCTATAGGTGAAAGATCTGGACTGCAGGCTGGCCATTTCAGTACCTGGATCCTTCTCCTACGTAGCCATGATGTTGTGATTGCTGCAGAATGTGGTCTGGCATTATCGTGTTGAAAAATGCAGGGTCTTCCCTGAAAGAGATGACGTCTAGATGGGAGCATATGTTGTTCTAGAACCTGAACATAGTTCTCTGCATTAATGGTGCCTTTCCAGACATGCAAGCTGCCCATGTCACAAGCGCTCATGCAACCTCATACCATCAGTGATGCAGAATTCTGAACGGAGCGTTGATAACAACTTGGGCTATCCTTGTCCTCTCTGGTCCGGATGACATGGCCTCCCAGTGTTCCATAAAGAACTTCAAATCGTGACTCATCTGACCACAGAACAGTCTTCCATTTTGCCACACTCCATATTAAATGACCCCTGGCCCAGTGCAAACATCTGAGCTTGTGGAGCTTGCTTAGAAATGGCTTCCTCTTTGCACTGTAGAGTTTCAGCTGGCAACGGCGGATGGCACGGTGGATTGTGTTCACTGACAATGCTTTCTGGAAGTATTCCTGAGCCCATTCTGTTATTTCCTTGACAGTGGCATTCCTGTTTGAGGTGCAGTGATGTTTAAGGGCCCGGAGATCACAAGCATCCAGTAGAGTTTAACGGCCTTGACCCTTACGCACAGCGATTGTTCCAGATTCTCTGAATCTTTTGATGATGTTATGCAAGGTTGATGATGATAACTTAAAAGTCTTTGCTATTTTACGCTGGGTAACACCATTCTGGTATTGTTGCACTATCTTTCTGTGCAACAATGGTGGAATTGGTGATCTTCGTACCATCTTGGCTTCTGAGAGACTCTGACACTCTGAGAAGCTCTTTTTATACCCAATCATGTTGTCAATTGACCTAATTAGTGTTAATTGGTCTTCCAGCTGTTTGTTATATGCTCAATTTCCTTTTTCCAGCCACTTATTGCTACTTGTCCCAACTTTTTTGGGATTTGTTGACACTATGAAATTTTGAATCAACATATTTTTCCTTTAAAATGTTACATTTACTCATATTAAACTTTTGATCTGTCATCTATTTCATATTACGAATAAAATATTGACATTTGCCATCTCCACATCATTGCATTCAGTTTTTATTCACAATTTTTTTAGTGTCCCAACTTTTTTGGAATCCGGTTTGTAAATGAAGATGTCATGTAATATGAATTTTTGTTAAAGTATTTTTAGTTGGACACGTTAATTGAAAAGGTTAGCTTGTGTTTCAGTTTTGAAACAAATAATAAGGAAATAAGCACTAAAAATATGCATGAACTGCCTTCATCCACATTAAAACTTCCTTAACTTAATGAACTTTGATGTTTTGAACCACTTTGGACATGGCTACCTCAGTGGAGTCGATGGGGGAGAGGGTGGACTCCAGAAATCATCTCGCCACCATCAAACTGGTTGGCCCACTATGAGTGTGCTGTTTGTGGGACTGAATTTGTTGTGGCTCCTCGGACTGATGAAGTCCTTTGGATGAAAGACAAAACGTTTCAACACAAAGAAACTGACCAGAGGACCTGACAACTTTGTTGGATGTTTTTAAGATGGATTTTTTAGCAGAACCTTAGATTTCTTAACTTAATAATTTTATGTCCGTTTTGAAACAGCTCTGTATGATCTTCTGGTGAATGTGTGCATCAATTTTACCTTCTACGCCCAACCTACATGTCACATATTTAGTGTCACAGGAATCACTCGGCCTCCTTCAGCTGCCTGTGAAATCCTTTGTGGTGTACTGTTGGACCTCACTTTAGACTGTAAAGGTCTTACCAGCTAAAACACATCTTAAATAAAGACTTGAGCATCTGCAACCTCCTCTGGACAAGGATCAATTAGCATTACTGGAAAAACAGAACTATTTTTCAGGAAAGCAGGATAAAGTGCTAAAGGAAAAGTTCAATTCTGCAGGGTTCAGATTGGAGAAAAGAATTCATGAAATCAAATCTTGATTCAATTCAATTCAAAAATACTTTATTAATCCCCAAGGGAAATTAAATGTTGTTGTAACTCATTATCCTTGTTTCATTAAGAGATGTTATAGATGCTGATGGCTGTAGGCAGGAAGGATCTCTTGTAAAGGTCCATCCCATCCGATCCATCCACCCAGACTCGGCTGGCCTCTCGGTTCCCTCCGGCTGCAGGACGGCCCGAATGCCGAGCTGAACTCCTCCCAGAGCGATGGCCACTCCTCCCAGCAGTCTGCCGAGCTCCTTGCCGCTACGGAAAGCCAGCTGCAGGTGCCAGGGGACGATCCTGTCCTTCTGCTGTCATGAGCCGTGTTTCCTGCTGGTTCCAGAATCTCAGTGGTCAGGCACTCGAGCACAGCCAGCAGGTAGATGAGAATCCATCCACAGCACCTCCTTTTTAACTCATTTAGATTTTGAGCTGTGGCTGAGATATTATTTGAGCTTTTGAGGTGTTAATCAGTTGCTCCCAGTTGTAAAAAACATCTTGTTGTTATGGTTACGCATCATGACAAATGTCCAAAAGTAAAACAGTTTCAGTAAAAATCCTTCCATCTGCACAGCATCTGATACCAGAGGAAACAATCATCCAAAAAATGTGATTTACATCCAGAAAAAGAGAAACTGATGTTTTTAAAAGCAATACCTGTAATCTCAGAATGAAATTAACAGAGCTACTCCAACATGCAGCCACACTGAGCGGCGCAGCGGCGAGTTCCAACAGTGGAAAAACTCTGATGTCTTCTGGATCATCTCTGTTTACTCACCCATCATTTATTTGTAGTCATCAGCATCCTTTGTGACAATAGTAAGAATTTTGTGCCAGTATTCTGAGCAGGTGTAACGTATTTCTGTGCAGATTTGATCAACACATTGTGTGACAGAGTGATCTGGACCTGTGTTCCAGTCATTTCCCCTTACTGACCTTAGAGAGGGGCAGGACCAAAAAGGCCCCCCCTCCGCTGGATTCAACGATGACGGCCAGAAACTTGGGATTGACGGCGCAGAAGGAGCTGTCCCACGTCACCTTGGAAACTCGGATGTCATCGTAGCACTGGTCCGCTTTGACCGCCTGGCCAAAGACGTGACGAAACTTACTCTGCCGCACGATGCTGCGACTCATAGCTGCGGATGGTGGAGGCAAAGAAAGGCGAACGTTTACCGATAAGAAGTTTGTTAAGGAAAGAGGTTTGTGCTTTTATCTTTATAAAACTAAGCTAGTAGAAATCATTTTTAAATTATGTGGAGATCTCAGGATGTTCTGTGACACACAGTGACCCCATCTTTAGGAATCACTGCACTAGGGGGTCCAATATTAATTATTCAAAACATTTGATGCTTTATGAATCTATTTTTAACTGAAGCAGCTTTAAATAACCAGCCGTGTTAGTTGCTTTAATTATGAACCCTTCTTTGTGGTTTTAAGTTGCTTGTTGACTGACAGCTTGCTGTCCTGCGACCGTTACAGGCCGGCAGCCAGCAGGACTGTAATCCTCAAAAACACTGGGGATATTGTATAACAGGGGCCACCATCAGAGTAGATATTAATAGTTGATTGTACCACCAAACATGTAAGAGCAAAACATCAAAAGCAAACGCCCATAGAGTCTATAACCTTTAACTTTTTAATAAGTTCTCAACGACCGAGCTCCATCTTATATTCGAGATCTTGTTGTTCCATATTTTCCTAACAGAGCACTTCGATTAACTGCAGGCTTACTCATGGTTCCTATAGTTTCCAAAAGCAGAATGGGAGGAAGATCTTTCAGTTATCAGGCTCCTCTCTTGTGGAACCAACTTCCAGTTTCTGTCCATGAGGCTGACACGTTGTCCAGTTTTAAGGCTGGGCTTAAGACTTTCCATTTTGATAAATCCTATAGTTAGGGTTGGCTTGTTATGCTGTCTAAAGTTTAGACTACTGGAGGACAAATTGACCTCATTTCTTTAAATGAATTGTTACATCCATCCATCCATCCATTTTCTTTACCCATTTATTCCATTTTGGGTCACGGGGGTCGCTGGTGCCCATGTCCAGCAATCACTGTGCGAGGGGCGGGGTACACCCTGGATGGGTCGCAAGTCCATCACAGGGCTACATAGAGACAAACGAGACAAACAACCATTCACTCTCTCACTCACACCTAGGGACAATTTAGAGTTACCAATCAGCCTAACATGCATGTTTTTGGTCTGTGGGAGGAAACCGGAGTACCCGGAGAAAACCCACGCATGCACGGAGAGAACATGCAAACTCCACCCAGAAAGGCCCCTGGACCGGGGTTTGAACCAAGGACCTGCTCGCTGAGAGGCAGCAGCTCTACCAGTTGCGCCACCGTGCATCCTGAATTGTTACAATTGAATAGTTTTCATTTGATGCTATTTCTATCTTAACATGTGATTCTTGACCTGCCATTGTGTATCTGTTCCTCTCAAACCCAGCCGGTCAAAGCAGATGGCCGCTTGTCTTGACTGGTTCTGCTAAAGTTTTATTCCTCATGTGGGAGTTTTTCCTTTCCACTGTCGCCTTCATGCTTGCTCAAGATGAGAGTTCTGTGATGGAGTTAAACTCAAAGCAGTCTGCTCCTCAGATAAATAATGTTAAATTATTATTTTTATATATAAATGTTTCTGTTCATAAATCTAAAATGGTTTAGATGTGGTTCCTAACTAATAATTTGTCCTCTTTTATTTTAGTAATATTTCTAAACTCTAAAGAGCTGTGCAGTTCGAATAAACCCAGAAGAGATCAAACTGATTATGCAACATGTGACCTAAGGGCAACCTCGAAGACCAGGAGCACGACAGAGTGACGAGAGGACAGAAGCCCCCCATGCGTTCCTAGAAGCTCCAGATTTACATTCCTGTAAGCACCTCCATTGGCCGACTGTGGGACATTCAGGGCCCAACAGAGCAACCAAGACATTTGCATGCATTTGTGAGATGATGGTGTTTGTACAAGTTTTCAAGTACAAAAAAGTAGGAGCAGGTCTCCTGACCTTTTGCTCTCCAGCTTTTATCTTCTTAATCCAAACTGCAGGGTTCTAAATTAAACTTAGAATGTTTTAGCAAAATCTGTTCTCAACAATCTACTGAATTTTAGAACATCCTAAAATTAAGAAATGCTCCTTATGTTCTTTCACAGAAGATACAGTACACATGGTGTTGATTTGTTTAATGCAGCAACCAAGAATTTTAATACTTCTTTGTGAAAAATGAATGTTTTTGCCAAACAGAAAATATCTGAAAAGTTCTTCTTGACTTAGAAGAACTAAATGGCTGATGTCTGTACTCAGTCTAGCTACTAAATGTTAAAATGACCAACATTTGTTGTGTTTTTAGAATTTCTGCTCTTGATGTTTCTAACGTTACAGATAGAGACCTCAAAATGTATTTTTACCAGTAGAAATGTTATTTGTGTTTATTGCCCGTTGCTGAAAAGCAAAGTCAGGTGATCTTGTTTTAACCTGTGTCTGTCCCGATATGTTAGCAAAATATCTCAGAAACTGCTGTACAGATTTATATGAAACTTTCAGATAGTAATAGATGGATACTTCTCCAATGGGTTTTTGTTTGGAATCAACTAAATTCAAGATGGCCTCCACAGTCAAGAAAATGCTAAAATGGCTCTATCAGTTTTGCAGATGATGAGCTAAAATTTGGCGCAGTGATTGCTAAAAACAAAAAACATTTCTACAGACACTTATCTCCACAATTTGTGCAAGATTTTTCTTTAAATTTGGGCATTAATTACTGGAATTAAGTGTGTGTCTGTTAGCACATCTCCTAAACCACTTATGGCTTTCAATGAAAATCTTAGAAAGTAATCACTGGATTTACAGCTACAGCTGATTACCCTTTGGCATCAGCCCAACTCACAATGGCCACCAGAGCCAACTGAATGAACCAACACAGAAACGGTTATACCTCAGACAGTTTTACAGATGTTGAGCTAAAATGTAAAGTGGTAGTATCTGAGAGTCGTTTACGACACATAATGTTAGTGCTAAGTGCATTTGATTGTGCAATCTCCCACAACATTGCTTTCAAGGTTTACTAAAATAGCTTTAACTTTAAGTCAACCGTAACATGAATTTAAGTTTAAAACCATAACATGAAATCAACGGGCCATATAAATTCATACCAGTAATGCTTTGTCTTTAATCAATTTCCGTTCTGTCTATAAAAAAAATGAATGTTATTACTGTACTACTGATGTCTGAAAAAGTATGACAGGAGTGATTGTATGATTGTATGCTACAACGGCCTGCCATAATCCTCTCGTCACAGCGCGAAGGAATGACACGGCCACTTTCCATATATGGACATGACAAACTGCTCGGGCCCGCCCCGGCCGGTTGCTCCGCCCACCTGCCTCCACTGTCCAGATGGCTCCTGAGAGAAGGCGCAGCGGACTCTGCGACACTTTCCCGTTAATGAACTGAGAGGAAACTTAAAACCACCGCAGTGAAAAGCGAATACAAATATTCATAAGTGTCAGTGGCGCAGGGCGTGCGAGGTTAGCAATGTGCCGCTGCTCCGGCTCCAGCCACGTAAAGTTGGAGTGCCCTCAGATTTTTAACTTCCTTTATTTTGAAGGGGTTTCAAGCGTGGGGACGCTGTCTCCCCTTTCCAGCTGGCGCCACTGCAGACACTGACAGGCATATTTGGACACAGATCAGCTCACCTCAGGTTTTGGGGAGACCCCTCTCTTCTCTTTAGCGGCTGCTTGCTGAAGTTTAGCCTCCTCCTCCTTCTCCTGATATTTTGCTGAATTGTATTCCCTGCGATCCGCTGCCCTGGACTCTACTCTTTTTATGAGGAGGACGCGCTGGGTAAGTGCGCGACGCTCCGCGGCAGGGGAAGGAAGAGGGGGGAGAGTAGGGGGACAGAGCTGGACAGGAGGCCGGGGGAGGTGGGGGGTGTCTATTTTGGAACGCGCGCTGCTGTCAGCGGGAGCGCGCGTTCACGTGTGACAACTAATGATGGTCTCTCTGACAAGTCTCACAAAAAAGATGAATTCTATTATCCTTTTTTTTTTTTTTTACTGTGGTTCATTCAGAATGATATAAACCTGGGATATGTTTTCATCCAGTATAAGACAGTTATCTAAAACGGTGGTTCCTTAACTTTTGAATAAACCTCATGTGGAAGAACCATACACAGCCTCCTCCTCATGCTGCTCACCAGCATGGTCGCAAACGTTGGATGGCACAAGCCAACCAAAGTGGTTGTGTTTGTCACTTTGGAACAAACGGCACACTCTGATCCCACAGTGGGGTTGAGGTCAGGGCTCCAGAAGCCATTCCATCCTCCTCACTGCCAAATTCTGGAGGTTTCTTCGCCTATTATGGATTGCAGAATTCTATTTCTGTAAAATAGGACCTTGTGCTTTATGTTTTAACAAACCAAAGCTGCTAGTGTCCTGAATGAAACCAAAATGGAAAGAATGATGGCCATAATTCTAATACTGTACAGCATAAATGTTTAATACTAATTACAAAAGGTGCTTCTGAAAAGAGCAGAGCTTTACATGAGGTAAGAACTAGGGATTTCACAACTTGTAGTCTCTTGTCAGTGTCCAAGAGCGCTGAATCATGTTTTTTTCTTGGTCCAAATACTGGAATTAATGCTCAAGCTACAAATTAATCAGCATTTGCATCATTCCTTTATTAATTTTGATTGCAAACAAGTCAAACCCATATTGGCAAAAAGGACTCAGTGCAAATGTTTTTGCATATCTGAACTATTGGAAGGCTGATCTTTTCCAAACTGTAAATATTTAAAGTAATCTCCAGTTGATTTATTTATTTTTTTGTATTTGAGAGAGCAGTTCCTCTATTGTTAATTCACAGGAACAGACTTCGACCGGATGACCTTGAACGCCCTGGAGTTTATTTAAACCGATCACCTTCAAGTATTGCTTCAAGAAACTGCAGAGAAAACTTTGGCAACATATTCTGTGTGGACAGTTTTGATTTTAAATTTTCTCTCAGAGCTTTACTTTAGTCCCCATAATCTAAGACGGGGCCTGCAACCTGCGTCCACATGCAGCTCTTTGGTTCCTCTGCAGCGGCTCGTTCATGCTTTGACCAAAACTAAATTTCATTTGTTGTTCTACCAACAACAAAAATGAATAATTTTAGTATTTTCCTTAATTTTTTTTTTATTTTGCAACTATTTAAATACTAGTACAAGTAAAACATATTCACTTTAACTTTAAGTCCATTGAAAAAGCAAAGCATAATTTTCAATTTCCACCATTAAAAAAATTACATGGTTCATTTTCTTAATTCATTAAAACCTTTTTTTTTTTTTTTCATTTTTTACAAGAATCTGGTATTTTCTTTTGTCTTAATGTAAAATTATCAGTTAATGTAAAAATTTTTTTAGATATTTTTTAGTTTAATAATGTCACCCCTACTAGTAAAGCCCCCTCCAACAAACTTGAAGTGGTCCATGGGCCACCAGTTGATAATCACAGCTGCAGCAGGTCGTTGCAGCTCTGGACACTAGTGAGCAAAGAAGCAGAAATGGCTCTTTTGATCGTGAAGGTTGCTGCTGATCTAAAAGTGTGTAAAGTATTAAATTAAAATGATTGATTCACTGAAACAAAGTACCATAATTTCGGGACTACTGAGCGCACCCAAATATAAGTCACGCCCACTAAATAAAAAAATTATTAAAAAAAGTGTACATATATAAGCTGCGGATGTCCACGTTGTGACATGAGATATTTACACATTTTTATTTGAATTAAATATGTACCGGTAACATTCAAATACGTAC